GTCCGCGGCGCCGAACAGGCTCGACGAGCCCAAGGACGGGCGGAGTGACGACGTGGGGTGGACCCCGTGGTAGTCTCGGGGCGAAGCAGTCGGAGCCTCGGAGGGACTGAGCAGTGGTGGGGATTGGACGCCGGCCGCGGCAGGGCCTTGTGGCTATGGTGGTCGGTGGTCTTCGRAAGTTTTGAAGGTTGCGCCTGGGGGCAGCAGTTAATTGAAATTTTTGTGTACAAGAAGGACTCGYTTTTATCTCCATTGCTGCTTTGTCTATGCATGTCGTGTGTGTGAAGCCCCAAGTGATGGGAGCTGGTTATGCGCATGAGTGACGTCGAAGGTCCATGGATGATTAGATGTCATGTCAAGGGTTGTTGAYTGCATGCATGTATGTGTGTATGTACTCGTCCGGGCGGGGATGGKGAAACTGAACTGGGGSACCGTCTGCTTAGGARTATGAGTATGTTGACCCGGTTGTTCCCCTCCCCTCCGCGGCCTTTCCTGCGCTCTCGCGCGGGCTTGGCGTAACTCTCTCTCTCCCTTTTCGATCGCCTTCCTTTTGAACTAACAGTCATCGCCTTTTAGAKCTTCTCGTCCSCGTACCAGTGACGTCAACCSCCTGCGTCCGCGCGGAYGGTCGACGCCCCCGCCAAGGGGAGAAAGCTTAGATTTCGTCATCCTCCCCCTACGCACCCACTTTCGAGAGAGAAGAGTTGCAACGTTTGTTGTATGGATTCGGTGTTGGTTCGGATGACCGGGAACGTGGGATCTTGCCCGTGTTCATCACGTACCTCCGATCGTCTCATTTCGCTACCGACCTTCCCCATCACAGATGACGACAGCGTCTACTGCGATGCGGACGTACGGCGCGCGCTGAGGCGGACATAGCAAGTGTGTTGGCAAGACCCGCCTCGGGCTTGTGAGATAAGGGGGAACGGGTTTGTGTTGATTGATCGCTTTGATTCCCCAACTCTAATATTGCCTTATACGGGTTTAACGGTGTTGCCCTGGTCGGCCGCTCACGCCGCGTGGCGACCACAGTTTGATTGTCGCGGGTGTTGCCAGGGGGACTCATGTTCGTGGCGACGGATGGTCCTAGGTTACGAGGGAGCGACACGTTACCCCGAGCTTTCCCGCAGTGCGGTGGCGCTACCCGCGCAATTTCGAATTCAGATGTCGGCGAGTCCTCCCGCCGCTTTACCCTCCCGGAAACTTTCGCGCGGGCTCTATGAGTCCGACGCCGAGGCTTGAAGGCCTCGAACCAACCACCTCTACAGCAAAAGACCCGAGGGTTCGGCCACTTCGTGAGGCCGATGACGAGGCCTGAAGGCTTCGAACCCACCATCTATCCACGGAACCCATGACGGCCGGAGTTTTTGTCGTCTGCCGCCATGGCCTCCTCCCCTTGATGCCTTTTCCCGTCCCGATGCACGACGGCAATTCATTTTCACAGAAACCCTTCTGATTTTATCGTTTCGGAGTAATCCGACCCCCGCGGGACTTCGTGACGACAGTTCGACTCCGAGAAAAACCTCGGCCAAGAAACGAGAGCCTCCCGTTCGGTCCGGGAGACTCAACCCTTACGGCCAAAAATCCTCGGCCACGCCCCTCCTAGAACTCTGATCGACGACCCCGTACGGGAAGCTGCGAGGGGGCGTGAGGTTGGTATTAGAGCTGATTCGTTTCGGCTCCGAGGTTTTCCTAGGACGATTACCCTGTTTTAAAGTTTCTCCTTTTTTCTTTTTGATATTTTCATTAGATTTTTTGCATTTTTGAGTAGGATGGCTCCCCGTCGACGGAGGCCCACGAATAGCAATCAGAACCGAGCGAGGGGCCGGGCTCGAAACCCACCTCCCGCGATGGTGGAACCTGGAATCGGGGGTGAAAACGACGGCAACAACCACGCGGGGATGGCCAATCATCCCCTGTACTTTGTACCTCCTCCCTCCGAAGTTCCCATTTTTTCTGAAGATGACACCGATCCTGGCACCTGGCTAGCTGCCTTGAAAGCCCAGGGCTGGTCGGACCAGTTGCTCCGGGAACGAATTCCCGGAAGGTTAGCCGGAACCGCTTTTGAGTGGTATGGACAAAACCCCTTCACTAATTGGGCAGCCTTCTAGAGGAAATTTCTCGATAGATTTGATCACATCGCACCAGGTCAATGCCTCCGTTTAATAAAGGAATACACACAACAGCCTCGGGAGACTTTGGCTAGATATGCTGAACGTTTTACGTACCTAGCCGAACGCTCTAGGGTGGATGAGAAAATTGTACGGACTGATTTCGTCAGAGGACTGTCAAACTCTCGTCTGCAGAAAAAGATCCGCAAGAAATGCAACCCTATAGAACATACCCTGACAGAGCTAATTCAGTACGCAATTAAGTACGGGAAAGAAAATTACGATGTGGGCCTGGACTCAGAATTCGACGAAGATGACCCTTCGGGTGTTCGACGCAATAGCTACTCCACTACGACACGAATGTTCGAAGATCGCTTCGGGTTGGGACCGGCAAAAAAAGGCTCGGATCGGAAAGCTTCTTCCTCTGCTTCGGCCTCCYGTCGCTCTAGTCAAACGCAAGGAAGCTGGGGCGAGGAAGAAGCATCCATGAAAGAAGTCGCGGCCCAACTAGTTACGGTAGTAGCCCCGTTGACGGAGTTTGTTCAAGGTTTGCAACGGCAACGCATAACCGCCGCACAATGGCAACAGGCGGCTATGGCTGCCGGAGCCCCTATGATAAGACCGGCCGTGGCCGGGGCTGTCCCACCCCTACGCTGTTACAACTGTAATCAGCCAGGCCACCTTGTGAAAGATTGTCCGAAACCCCGAACTCAGGGCAGGCCCACCGGACCTTCCCAAATCCCGCTGGCTGCTCCCACCGCTGCAGGACAGGGGAGGGTAGCCACAGTAATGGACACAGGAACGATGGAGATGGTGACCCCGACGGCCACTGAGATAGGACCCGATGAGTATATGGCGGCAGCAATGTTCGAACCCGGGACCATCGGAGTGATACGTCACGTCCAACGGATTACCGAGGAAAGCGACCTCGGGCCGTGGCGACCTGGATTCGAGGATCTTGCGGTACCTGGTCCTGAATACAAGGATGGCCATATCGATGTATTGGATGCCTTGAAGGCTCTGGATCTTCGGATCCCCGTCCCTATTCCATATCTGCTAACCATTTCCGAAGCGACTAACGAAAGGTTGATCGAACGGTGCCTCAAAAACAGGCGCCGATTCGAGGAAAGTCGAAAGGGCAAAAAGTCGGTCCTACGGGACCCACCCACAAACGAGGAGTCACAGCCCTCGACCTCAGAGGTGCACAAAGCCAGCCGGATAGGGATGATCCAGACCGTAGATTCTGCCTCGGAAAAACCCGAGGTATTCCTCTGGGCCCATCCTATAACCTGGAAAAGCGTAGAGTGTGACTGTGAGATCTGGGGAAACCCCTCGGCCGCCATCCTAGACTCGGGATCATCGGCGGTCGCCATTTCTTGGAGATTGACGAAAGAGTTGGGAAGGGAAGGACAGGTTCAGCCCCTCCAGCCGGATGAACTGTATATATCCGCTACGGAAGATAGTATTCATTGTAAAGGGCGAATAACGAACGTGCCTATACGGGTGGGGCCGGTGCATTGTTTGTGTGACGTGATTGTGCTGGATGTACGGGCGTATGATGTTCTACTAGGCATTCCGTGGCAGGCGGCGGTCGGAGCGCGAATGCACTTTGACAGCTGTAAGGTGGTGCTCACATCGGCCCACCCCAAACCCCAAACGATACCAATGAGACTGGCGGTGCGCACGCACACCCAGTCGGCGCCTCGCCTCACCACTAAAGCGCATCAAATCAACATGATCCGACGCCTGTCACGAGGTGAAAGTGAACCCTCGACGGAAACTGACAAGACTGATGCACCCGGCCGATAACCGATCCGAGTACAGGATCGGTGGCGCCATTCTTGGCGGCGAAAACCACTGGAAATAGTTCGGAGCGAGTCCAATTGGTCGCACGCATTCTCCTCCGTGGTGCAGGGGGAACCCCTGCTGAGGGTGTCCCGAATAGCTGACCTTTCGGAACCCCCTACGTCCTTGTATCTCCGGACGGACCCCCTACCTGAAAGATTTACCGAGCTGAGGGGGCTGTGCGATTTATCTTTTCGACCCCCACGGCCCCTACTCACGAATGAAAAAGCCACGATACTCCTGAAAGAGGGGGTGTTGTTTCAACCCCGAACGAGGGAGTATCGGTGGGGACCGAGGGAACTGGCGCAGGCCTTTTCGGTCGAACCCTCGGCCGAACCCAAACTGGACAGCGACAGTGACATGGAAAGCGAGCCGATGAGCCCGGCGGACAGCCAACTTATTGCGACGGTCCTTTCGGCGAAAACCGACAACTCTTTGTTTGGGTCCTCGCCCGATGCCAACGTGGTGGTCCCCACGGTTACGACGACGGTCTCCTTTCCTGGGGGAACCGTAGAAGTTCAGTTACCAGCCCGTGTTCCGGACGAATGCAAACGCCTCCTCTTGGCGGTTATACGGACCTATCCTGAGGCCGTCAGCATTCAGGACCACGACATAGGGCTAACCCCTTTGATACAACACGCGATTGACACTGGGAATCACGCCCCGATACATTGCCGACCGTACCGATATTCCCTTAAAGAAAGGCAGCTGGCGTTGGAAAGGTACGGGAATTCGAGCGGTTGGGGTGGGTCGAACCATTGCTGGGACCATGGTCTTTTCCCGTGGTCCTCGTGCCAAAACGAAATGGCTCGGTTCGGGTATGTATCGACTACCGGAAATTGAACGCCATCACTACCAAAGATGTGTATCCCTTGCCGTGAATCGATGATTTGTTAGATGCTATCGGGGCCGCTCGAGTCTTTTCCAAGTTCGATATCCGACACAGTTTTCACCACGTCACAGTCCGACCGGAGGACCGACCCAAAACCGCCTTTGTCCTGTTTGAGGGCACGTGGCAATGGGTCCGGTATCCCATGGGAATTTGTAACGCCCCTGNGAGGACCGACCCAAAACCGCCTTTGTCCTGTTTGAGGGCACGTGGCAATGGGTCCGGTATCCCATGGGAATTTGTAACGCCCCTGCAACGTTTCAGCGGACCATGAATATGGCCTTCGCTGAGTTCGTTAACAAAACCCGACTAACCCAGCCCCTAATCAATTTCTGCGTGATTGTGTACATGGATGATATTTTGGTCTTTTCAAAAACACACGAGTACCACGTGGAACACATTGAGTGGGTTTTGCATGCACTGAAAGATGCAGGGTTCAAAGTGGCCTTGGAGGAAAGCGAGTTCTTCTTGTCGGAGATCTCATTCTTGGCGTATATCGCCACGGTCGACGGACTAAAACCGGATCCGAGGAAGGTGGCAGCAGTTCAAGACGCCCTGGCGCCAGTCACACTCACCCAGGTTCGGGCTTTTCTAGGGCTGGCATCCTATTACCGACGCTTCATCAAGGGGTTCGCCGGCATAGCAAAGCCCCTCACGAACCTGCTGAAGAAAGAGGAACAGCTGATCTGGACGCCGAAATGCGAAGCGGCGTTTCAGGCGTTGACAGAGGCTCTAACATCTGCTCCTGTGTTGGCACGCCCCGACCCGACAAGACCGTTCGCACTGTACACAGACTGGCAGCCTCAGGCGATATCGGCGGTGCTGACTCAGCACGGCAAGGATGGAAGAGAGCACGTCATTGAGTATGCGTCCAAGACGCTGAGCCAGGCGCGGGCTAATTACGAACCGTGCAAAGGTGAATGCCTGGCGGTGGTGTGGGGGATTCAGCATTTCCGACTGTATCTGTATGGCCAGAAATTCGTGCTGGTAACGGATCATCAGCCGCTGCTGTCCCTACGCAACAACACGGGGACGCTGGGCAGGTGGGCGGTGCGTCTGCAAGACTATGACTTCGACATCCGCCACCGTGCCACGCGGCAGCATGGTAATGCCGATGGATTAACGCGCCTTCTGCCGCCCAACAAGTGTCCCGCCAACGAGCGACTCATTCCGTGGAGGCCACAAGTCGTGGCGACGAAACCGCACTACGGGGAGCTACACATGCTGCGTAAGGACGACGCCTGAGTACGGAATGGAGGTTTCATCGGAGATGGCCGACGCTATCTCTCTGCCCTCATCCCACTCCCTCGCTCTCTCGTCTAGCCCCAACTTGTTCCCTGAAACACACCTAAGTCCCTGTTTCTTTTGTACCTTGCCCATGATCCCGGACCAAGAAGGGTCACATCCAGGAGGGCCCAGTTTTCTTTTATGGGTACAGTGTAGTCAGTGTCATACGGTCAAATCTCACGGACAGTGCGTTAGGTACCGAAGTAAAAAGACGTGGGTCTGTCCCAACTATAGAACGGACCAAGTCCCTACCGAGAAGCGGTATCTGGACGCTAGAACAGCCGACGGATTTGCGCCAAGTGCCCGTCGGGCTGAAGCCTGGACGGACCTTCTGTTGCTACGGAGACTGTCAGGCGACTCGTTGTCAGAACTTACCAAAGCCGAACGGCGGAGAGTCACGGAGCGGGCGCAAGACTATCGCTGGCTGGGTCCGACGTTACAAAAACGGAAGGTCGATGATGACGGAGAGTCTAGCTGGTTGACGGTTCCACACCCTCTTGCTAGGTTCGATTGGACACGAGCTGCTCATGAGGAGGATGCGGTCCATTTCGCTGTCAAGTACACGGAAAAAGCCATCGAAAAGAACGGATGGTACTGGTCGGGAATTCGGGAAGATGTGAAATACATCGTTCAGAATTGCCCAGCCTGCGCGGCGGACCAGGCGCCGGTACAGATGCCTCAGACGATGGTTCCCACTTGTGTAGAGCGCCCCTTTCAGAGGGTTAGCATCGATACGACGGATATCAACGTTCCGAGAGGGCCCGTCGATCAGGGAGAGCTCAATGTTCTTTTAGTGGCCGTCGATCATTTTTCAAAATGGATCGAGGCGTACCCTATGACCAGCCAGAATTCGCAGGAAGTAGCCTGGTACGTAAATCGATTTTTGTGTATGCATCTAGACGTAGAAGAGGTACACATGGACAATGGGTCGGAATTTCAAGGCGAAGTAGAACGTCACCTAGTCAGGGCGGACGTTAAGATTATCTACTCACCGGGGCATTGGCCTCAAGCCAATGGCCTGGTAGAGAATGCCAACCGACTGATAAAGACGGCCCTTAAACGAAATATCACTGCGGGAGACACCTGACCCTGGCCGGTCATTGTCAATCACATTTTGGCCGTTTATCGGGCTACCCCACACGGTAGTACTGGGGTGTCCCCCTTTCAACTGAGAACCAATACTGTCCCTCGGGTGCAATTGTCCCCCTTAGTAGGTACGGAAGTTAGAGCAACACGGGCCCAGAATCGAGACAAGGCCCGCCACAAGATGGACTTAATGGCTAGGGCCTATCCCCCGTTAGCTCTCCGTCGACAGCAGGCCGTAGATCGGACACATCAACGGCAGATCCGTGACTACGAGAATCGACACGCGTCGGCGGGACCACTGTCCCGCTATAAAGTTGGGGACTTGGTGCAGGTACGGAAATCTGCGCGTTCCTCCAAGATCCACCCGCGCTACACAGGCATTTGCAAGGTCACGGAAGTTGGCGCACAGGGACAGCACTCCGTGAAGCTGATTCCCTGTCACAACTCCCAGGCCCGACCGCTGACACGGCACGCTGCCGCGCTCCGGCCCTTCCAGCCATCGCTAGGTCCCCTACGGACCCCCGCTCCTGCGAGATTACCCTCTCCTTCTTCATCCTCCTCCTCTTCCCGATCTGCCTCGTCCATTGGTGCTGAGAGTTTCAGGGAGTAGGATGAACCATCGCCAGGCGAAGCATGAACCCCTCGAGCACTTCCAGACGCCGCTTGCAGATCGCTTGTTGCGGCATCAGTTTAATGAGGAGAGGCACTTGCGGTACGATATCCAACAGGTGAACGTGCCAGCGCCCGGGGTTGCTGATTTGGCAGCGTACTCGTTGCTTTGCGATCGGCTGACATATGCGGGAGTGTACGTGGACGTGACGCAGTTGCCTGGCCGGGAGAGGACCCGAGTATTCATGGAGTTTCGTCCGCTCCACGTGGCACCCAACTTCGTGCACAGCGTCGCAACCTTCATCGGAGACTTGACGGTCCTACCGCAGCAGGATCGGGAACCAGCGCGCAGCTTTGTGCGCGAATACGCGGTGGAAGCGGCCAGATCAGTGGCCAGACACCGATTCACAGCCCACGAAGTGCTGCTGCGTAGGGCAGAGGACGGACCGATTGCGTTGGTGCCGCAGCTCCCCACGCTTCTCCCTCCCCCTGCTCCTCTCAACCTCCAAGCTATTCCCCCTATCCCGTACTAAATGCCTCCTTTCTTCTCCTACACCACCCTCCCCTACCAGCTCACGGAGGGCCCTTACCCCATGCGCGAGTTCTCGGAGTATTTGGTGGAGCTCTGACGTGGATCCGCTGCCCTTCGCCGACGAAGACGCGTGGGAGTTGCACCGTGCGCTCTACAAGTCGGTGGCGCTGGGGATGTTCCGGTTCTTCGTGGATCACGAAGACCACACTATCGGGGAGCACTTCGTCGTTTACTACGTCATCGCGCGACCCAAGCCAGCGGAGAAGGAAGGGACGGTGGCGCTGTACCCCTTCGCCCAGCTCCAGACAATCGATCCGGGATTGTTGGAGTTCATACATCTTGAGCTCCTCTCCATTGCGCAAGTGATCGCGAGCGAGGACGAGGAGATCCAACCACGATTGCGGACGGCGACGGCCCCGTGGAGAACGTACAACGCGATCGTCATCCCGGATTACATTGCGCAACGCGCGGAGAGATTGGAGGACTTCCCGGAGGAAAGGCCGTTGCGTCCTTTCTCGTCGTATCCTCGACCAGCGCCACCGAAGGCCCCCAAGAAGACGCCGAAGAGGAAGAGACGCCACCCGTCGCCAGGAGCGCAAGGCAGCAGGATCGGCGGCGGCGAGGAGGTGATTCAGCCCACGCGTACGCGGATTCCCAACCCTGTGCCTGGGAGCGCGGCGACGCTCATTAAGGAGACTATCGTGCCATTGCCGCCCATTCCGCGTGTGCCCGATCTCAATCTTGATGGAGTCGGACCATCAGCAGCAGCAGCAGCCGGAGGAGGAAGCCGAATGGGATTTTCGGATCCCATATCCAGATCCCCCGTCCTCGCGGGACCTCCCCATTCCCGCCAGCCACCCTGGGGTGCCCCGGTCATTGGCATTAGTAGTTCATCCGAGCCGGATGGTCCATCCGACCGAGGTGGATTTCATGGTGGAGCCCTCCACCATCAGGCTCGAGGCCATCGCGGGGGCGCCGCGCCCTGATCCGGCGTGGGAGCCATATCTAACACCCCCTTTCCAAGGTTGTATTGTGGCGCGATTGGTTGGGATGCTCATCTACGAGACCGGGCAGCGTCCAAATGCAATGTACCACTTCCTGGTCTTCGCGGCGCAGAAGCGGGAGCGGCGGCCTTACACCGAGACTCATGTGGTGATGACGGGTCCAGGGCCCCGATCGGTGCGCAAGCGGGTGGTGCGAGCGGTAGCGGATCTGGCGCCACGTGTCCTCTCACACGTGCCGGGGGCTTTCCTTTACCCCTCATTCATCCAGCATCACTTCCATGAGGAAGATGTGTCGATGACTCCTGCGGCAATGGCCGCTTTTCTTCCACCAATTCCGCCCCCTCTCAATCCCGACATAGATCACTTCCTCTGATCACCCTCGTCTACCTCTCCCCTGTCCTCTCCTTCTCCTTCTCCTCTTTTTCTTCTTCTTTTCCGGATCTAAAAGCTCGAGCGACGATACTCGCTGTATATCTATGAAAAAAAATAAAAAATAAAAAAAAATTACTTACCGAACGGGCCAGCTGACGATGAAGGGGCCGCTCGATCGAATGTATACTATGGGAGGAGGCGATGGAGGATGCAGGATGCATCCACGTAGATTAGGAAGATGATCGGGCCAGCCGACGATGAAGAGGCCGCCCGATCATCCATGATATGATGGCATCAGCAGTCAGGAGACTGCTAATTTTTCGGAACCCCCTGTGTATCACAAATGTGATAAGCTCAGATCCGTACCGCGCAGCTTGCCGTATCCCTGAGGAAAAACCCCGCGGAAGCCCCGAAGTACGGACGCGGATAAAAAGGGGGTTTTCTTTCTTTTTGCTTTTGTTTTCTTTTTGAAACGGCTTTTTCATTTTGTTTGGTTAATAACTCCCGCGGGCGAATAGCGGCCGCGGTATGAAAACTTAGAAACGGGTGCGGTTGGGACTTTTTAAATTTTTGCGCGCACGCCCAAGCTCCGGTTTCTTCGCCCGTCGCGCATCCCCGTTTCTTGCTTTGCATCCTCGCGACATCTTCCCTTCTTGCTGCGCGCGTTTTCCCCATGCAGGACTCTTCGTCTTCCCCTACGCCCAGCTTGATTCTTACCCCGTCTTCCTCCGCGAAGTAATTGGCTGCGTAGTTGGGATGCTCGGATCAATGTGGAAAGCGGGAAATCGCGCACCACTTTGACGAACACCCCAATCATGTAGCCATGCAATCCCGCGGATCGAACCCTCTAACTCCCCACCTCTCTCTCCCATCCTGCTCATGTACACCCTGCGCTGCCCGCACCTCGCGCTGTTAACCCGCCGCCTCCTGCGCTATAAATTTGTGCAACCCTCTCCTCTCCCTCTCTTTGGTCTCGGCTGCAATGCTGCGCGAGCTATGCGCGAGAGTCCGCGGCGCCGAACAGGCTCGACGAGCCCAAGGACGGGCGGAGTGACGACGTGGGGTGGACCCCGAGGTAGTCTCGGGGCGAAGCAGTCGGAGCCTCGGAGGGACTGAGCAGTGGTGGGGATTGGACGCCGGCCGCGGCAGGGCCTTGTGGCTATGGTGGTYGGTGGTCTTSGRAAGTTTTGAAGGYTGCGCCTGGGGGCAGCAGTTAATTGAAATTTTTGTGTACAAGAAGGACTCGTTTTTATCTCCATTGCTGCTTTGTCTATGCATGTCGTGTGTGTGAAGCCCCAAGTGATGGGAGCTGGTTATGCGCATGAGTGACGTCGAAGGTCCATGGATGATTAGATGTCATGTCAAGGGTTGTTGACTGCATGCATGTATGTGTGTATGTACTCGTCCGGGCGGGGATGGGGAAACTGAACTGGGGGACCGTCTGCTTAGGAGTATGAGTATGTTGACCCGGTTGTTCCCCTCCCTTCCGCGGCCTTTCCTGCGCTCTCGTGCGGGCTTGGCGTAACTCTCTCTCTCCCTTTTCGATCGCCTTCCTTTTGAACTAACAGTCATCGCCTTTTAGATCTTCTCGTCCCCGTACCAGTGACGTCAACCCCCTGCGTCCGCGCGGATGGTCGACGCCCCCGCCAAGGGGAGAAAGCTTAGATTTCGTCATCCTCCCCCTACGCACCCACTTTCGAGAGAGAAGAGTTGCGACGTTTGTTGTATGGATTCGGTGTTGGTTCGGATGACCAGGAAAGCGGGATCTTGCCCATGTTCATCATGTACCTCCGATGGTCTTATTTCGCTACCGACCTTCCCCATCACAGATGACGACAGCGTCTACTGCGATGCGGACGTACGGCGCGCGCTCAGGCGGACGGAGCAAGTGTGTTGGCAAGACCCGCCTCGGGCTTGTGAGATAAGGGGGAACAGGTTTGTGTTGATTGATCGCTTTGATTCCCCAACTCTAATATTGCCTTATACGGGTTTAACGGTGTTGCCCTGGTCGGCCGCTCACGCCGCGTGGCGACCGCAGTTTGATTGTCGCTGGTGTCGCCAGGGGGACTCATGTTCGTGGCGACGGCTGGTCCTGGGTTACGAGGGAGCGACACGTTTCCCCGAGCTTTCCCGCAGTGCGRGGGCGCTGCCCGCGCAATTTTGAATTCAGATGCCGACGAGTCCTCCCGCCGCTTTACCCTCCCTGAAACTTTCGCGCGGGCTCTATGAATCCGACGCCGAGGCTTGAAGGCCTCGAACCAACCACCTCTACAGCAAAAGACCCGAGGGTTCGGCCACTTCGTGAGGCCGATGACGAGGCCTGAAGGCTTCGAACCCACCATCTATCCCCGGAACCCATGACGGCCGGAGTTTTTGTCGTCTGCCGCCATGGCCTCCTCCCCTTGATGCCCTTTCCCGTGCCGATGCACGACGGCAATTCATTTTCAGAGAAACCCTTATGATTTTATCGTTTCGGAGTAATCCGACCCCCGCGGGACTTCGTGACGACAGTTCGACTCCGAGAAAAACCTCGGCCAAGAAACGAGAGCCTCCCGTTCCATCCGGGAGACTCGACCCTTACGGCCAAAAATCCTCGGCCACGCCCCTCCTAGAACTCTGATCGGCGACCCCGTACGGGAAGTTGCGAGGGGGTGTGAGGTTGCGTATCACAGGCCAGCCCTCTCACGTTGGACAATCAGATGGACCAGTTTGGTGGGCACCATCCTGCTTGAGCAGCACTATGCTGCGGAGCTATTTTCAGTTGAATGGAGTTGGAGTTAGAGTAGCGGAGTAGGAGGTCGAGTAGTAGAGCTGAAGCTGGAGAGCGTGGCCGCTGTAGGAGATGGTGACTTACCTGGTGCCATAGCTTGGTCCTATCTCAAGCGACCTGCATCAGAGAGCGCCACTTCCAATAGTTAGTACCAGCGGCTATCAGCAGCATCGGGTGAGAGGGAGACATAGGGGAACGTCTATCCTTCTTCTACTGTGTGTGTGTGTGTGTGTGTGTGTGTGTGTGTGTGTGAGAGAGAGAGAGAGAGAGAGAGAGAGAGAGAGAGAGA